ATTGCCTTCCTGCGGAAGAGCTGCAGCTGGTCTTGCTGTGTTTTCACTTCTGCTATGACATAAAAGTGACACACCTTAGAAAAATTCTGTCTAATGATTATACTGGTTTACAAGATTTGTTCTTGATGCTGACAGTCTGATAGAGCCTGAAAACCAAAATGGGAATGGCTTCGCAGATCCTTTAATAACAAAAGAACCAGGAATGGTGGCAGGAGCTTTAAATAGTTGTACTTGATCAGAATGTGTGGCAGCTTTGTACCAGCTGCTGTTTCCTTATAAATACGCTGATTTGTTGTAAATGAACATCCACCACATCTGGATAAACACAGGGCAGAAAAGTACAGCGCTGGTCGAGCAGACATGAAATGTCACATGAGATACCGTAAAGCTTCTGTGAGATATAATGCAAGATTGTATGTCATAGTGCAACTCACACAGATACAGCCCAGGACAGGTAGAGACAGGAGACACACTACTTTCAGGATTCCTGGCCAGTCAGAAATCAAAACTCTCTTCTCTAAGTGGAAGACACGAGGCTCAAGCGCCCTATTGAAAGTGCCTGGAAAGGGCTCTCTCCTCCTGAGCTGCAGGCAAACTCTATGGTAGGAAGAGCTGGAGACTTCCTCATCCCATCAAAAACGACTCTCAGGATTTGCATAAGTGACCTACAGCATCCAGACCCAAGCACTATATTAGAAAGGTTTATTGCATTGACTACAGAAGTCCTACAGTTCTCCCAGACTGTGGTGTTGAAATAAAGAGTCCACAGTAGGTAGCAAGAAACTCTCTTATAGGCCATGGCAGAAAATTCTCACAATCATTTGTTGTTACCCATATGTAACCTACCTTACTGAATATCACCCAACAATACCTGCCCCTCTACTCCACTCTTGTGAGACCCCACCTGGAGTACTGCATCCAGCTCTGGAGTCCCCAACATAAGAAGGACATGGACCTGCTGGAGAGTGTCCAGAGGAGGGCCACGAAGATGGTCCTAGGGCTGGAGCACCTCTCCTATGAGGAGAGGCTGAGAGAGAGGGGGCTGTTCAGCCTGGAGAAGAGAAAGCTCCGGGGAGAACTTATTGCAGCCTTCCAGTACCTAAAGGGGGCCTACAGGAGAGCTGGGGAAAGACTTTTTACTAGGGCATGTAGTGATAGGATGAGGGGGAATGGCTTTAAACTGGAAGAGGGCAGGTTTAGATTAAACATTAGGAAGAAGTTTTTCACTTTAAGCGTGGTGAGGCACTGGAACAGGTTGTCCAGAGAGGCTGTTGAGGCCCCATCCCTGGAGGTGTTCAAGGCCTGGCTGGACGTGGCCTTGGGCAACCTAGTCTAGTGGGAGGTGTCCCTGCCCGTGGCAGGGGGGTTGGAACTCGATGATCTTCAAGGTCCTTTCCAACCTAAACCCTTCTATGATTCTATGATTCATTATCACAATAAAGATTTGAGCCTGAGCCTATTTTTTGAATGGTCCCCTGTTCTGATTTGCTGGCTGTGTGAAATGGAGATTTTACAACAAACCTAGGTAAGGTCTAGTTAATTAACCCATTACTGAAAATATTCAGAAATATAATTAGTACTATTTCAAGTAAGGTAGCACTAATAGGCAAGTCCAGGTCTGATTATGGAGTTTGCTACGTCCCGTTGCAGCAGTTCAGTATGCGCTCCGGAGATTACAGTGGCAAAGGAAGGGTGCAGGAAGTTGCTGTTTCCTTCCTTAAAGTAGGTTTAAGATTACAAATTAATCTCAGAAGAGATTATGAGTATCTCAAAGAGTTAATGAGTATCTTAAAACTGCCCATTTCTCTTAATTGTCCAAAGGCCAATTGATCCTGAAGTATATAAAATACTGACGCATGAGGAAGAGAAGCACAGCTGAGACAGCCAGCAAACAAACAGCAAACAGGAACTGTGTCTGCTGGGAAAGATGCCAAAATGTGGTTTTGCCTTCATTCGCCTTTTTGTGCTTTTACTCGGTTTCTCCATCATTTGTGTGGGAGTCCTTTGCCTTTCCACAAGTTACTCCATATGCAGATGTGGAAATAATGAGCTGGTGTTTTATTGCCTGTTAGCTTTGGGGCTATTTCTCCTTGTGGCTGGCATTTTCTGGAGCACTTTCTATGAAGTCTTGAAATGCGGGGACGCCAGCAGCGCCTTCATTCGAAACCGCAGCCGTAGAGAGCTACGCATCAGCACCATAGACAGGTATGTGTTGCAGCATTGCTACCGATTGACTGGGAGGGAGGGATGCTGTCTTGTAAGCATACTGTGAGAAGAAAGAAGCTATAGAAGGTGTTTACAAAATAAAATAAAAAAATAATTGCAGCCATTTTATTATATTTCTACGGCGATAACTGTAGTCAGAGACTTGATTTGCTAGAGCAAGCAGCAATGTGCAAACAGTAATTTGTATACACAATACATAAGGTAAAGTATACTCCAGTGAATGCAGCAGGTTGCACAGAGTGGTCTAAAGCCATGCATGGAGGCAGCAGGTGCAGCTATGCCAACTTCATGGAGCTCTTGCTGTAGCATCATTAGTTTCATCTCAACAGACAATTCCAGATGTGCTGCTGTGGGGTATCTGCTCGTATCACTTATCACCAATGGGTATGCAGGGAGCTTCAGCTCCCTATATGGTCCCTGACGAAGTTTTCTTGTATAGTTGACCCTGCTATTTCTGAGCAAAGTTTGACGCTTTGAGAGAAAGAGGTTTTTAAGCTGACTGGCGCTGGGCCTGACAAAAGTCTTTAACAGGGTCACTGGATACAAATTACTTTTCCCGGACTGTTGTGGAAACCGTACCAGAAACACTGACAATGGGTGCTCCAAAAGCACTATGAAAACAACATTCAACAAATTTTGGTTAGATAAGCAGAAACATGCAGAAACATATTTTAAAACTGTGAAAACAATTATTATTGTAATAATAAATAACCCACTAATTTAACCTACTTTGGAGAGTGACCTCTTTGTTCTTCCAAATCAAACTTTTCTCAGGCACTTGTTGAAATACGCACAAGCATGAGTGTTTGTATGTCATGCATGGGAACTGCCATGGGGAAGGCTTGTCTTTTTAGAATTCTGTGTTTTAATAAAACATTTTGCAGAAAGACACAGGTAAGGATGCCAGCTGTTTTATATTAATATATTCCATTGATCTAAACCTACTTAGGTTTCCATTTACAGTTTAAGACTTACCTAAACTTTGGAAACATAACAGGCAAAGCATCTAACCAAGCTCTCAGAGATAAATCCCATTTCACCATGATGTGTTTCTTTCTGGTTTGCTTTTTTTCAGGCCTGACTTCTATCCCCCCTCCTATGAAGACAGCACAGATCCTGAAAAATCCTTTCCACTGCCAGTTGCCTCCACACTAAAACAGCACGACATCATCAATATCCCTCTGCCCCCATACAGCGAAAGCAGCGCAGAGTTCATCAGTGAAACTAACGAGCAGGAACAGCCACCACCTTACGAATTATCTGCGAGGCAGGTACAGCAGCAGCAAACAGCTGACCAAGACCCAAACCCTGGAAGGGAGTCAAATTCTCATCCATCCACACAAGAAAACAGTTACCAACAAGATACAGATTGCCAGGGGACCTCAGAAAGAGCAACGCCTGTCAGAACATCTGAGACAGGCAGTGGGTAAAATTCTGCATCTGCAAAGTGGGGAAAATTGGAAGAAGATGTGTGTCAGTGCATCACTTAGGGTGAAGCTGCCCAGGAGAAGCATTGACTATTTGTGTGTTTGAGTGGAGTTGGGGAGGATATATATAAAAGTGCTCAGTATTTCAAAGCAGAATGAATCGCTATAGAGATAGAAATGGTCAGACCATATCTTATAAAAGTCAGCATCACTGGCAATAGGAGCTTCTTACGCTGCAAGATAAATGAAGCATCATGCTGTCATCAATCTTAAATGTCTTCATAAGGAGTTTCGGTGAAAGTCCTCATTTGTAGTTTTGTAACATTAGCTGACTTGAGAAACCTACGAACTCAGCTTTTGTTTGGAATTTGTAAATTATTTGTTGTAACTGATTATTTTTGTATTATATGCCTTTCAAGTTACTTGTTTTATTTTGGGGTACTAATACCTGGTATTTACTATTGAATTAATGAATAAATTTTGTATTTAAAACAAACGCCATGTATTTGCTTATGTGATACAAGGTGTCCATGGTTCAGGATAAACACACAATACAATACACGTAATACACTTCCTAGTTGCTAGAATGACAACCCTGGTTATGCCCACAGCTCCTCAAAGGGAACTAGCAATTCAGGAGGAAAATCTTTCTCTGACTCACTCCTCTGAGCTGTCTCTAAAAGTAGTTGCTTCCACTGCAGCTTACTCGAGACTGTGGGAACTAAAAAAGAGGTCCTGTATGCTGTTTCTGACACAAGTGGCCTTGTGGGTAGGGAGCAAGTACCAGAACGAGGACAGGCTTGGACTCATCCTTCCTCTGTTACATGTTTCCTTCCTTCCATAAAACCACTGAAGCAAATTTTCATCCATATATATACCTGTCATCTATAATTCCAGGGGACAAAAAGAACTTCATGGAGGTTCACTCCGATTTAGACCTGCAAAACTGACTGTAGGTGGAGTTTTGCTTTTTGTTGCAGAATCAGTGAGACAGAAAAGCTATCACACTTTCCAGATGGCCACATACCCTAAGACAACAACTTCAGGGTTATGGCTGCATATACATTAGAAATGAAAGACATGGTGGTGATGGTGACAACGGCTAAGGTCAGTGAAGTGACAACTGTGTCAGTTTTTTCTTCCAAAGAATTTCATCCTTTATAGGAAGGACCTATAAACCTTCAGTTGATGTAAGAAGAAAGGAAGGCAGGATAAAATGGGGTAAAGAAACTACAGAGAAAGGATAAACAATTCAAGACAACTGAGGAAGAGAAAAGTATTAAAGCAATCACAGGCTAAAAAAGAGCCCCTGTAAAAGATAAAAGATGATAGAAGGTGCCATCAGCATATAAAGGTTTTTCAAAGTGACTGAGAAGTGGCACAGCATAGAGGAGAGTAGTAGAAGTCAGAGGAGCACCGTACATTATTTCCAAAACAGCTGAAGTGAGGATTTCCTACGCCAAGTGACCTTGTTATGGTCTTACCTCCTAGCACTACCTTATACGCACCTTGAAATGCCTTGCTTCTTCACCCCAGGGCCCCGGATCCTGAAGGCTGTGCGCACTGCACAAGTATTGGTGCAGGGATCAATCACAGTAGATGAGGCTGATTAACCAGGAGATGTCCCGTGGGAAAACGCTTGTCCTGTCCCAGCTCGACTTTTTTTTTTCCCCCTGTGGAAATCTAACTTTTCCACCAGATAACATTTAAAGCAAGACCACACAAGTGGGAAATGATTGAAACTACAGGTAACTCTGAGAGCAAGTACTGCAGGAGTACTGCTAAAGGTTGCTCTTGAACCAGTTTGCTATAGGAAATGACATGGAGATTCTTTCCACACAGTTTATGGACAGTCAGGAAGATCTAATCCTCTCTTCCTTTCCCCCAGTCCCAGGGCAGTCCTGAAGTGCCCCTTTTTAGCTCCAGCCTTCTGCAGATGTCATGAGGTCTCAATGGATCCGGAACTGTGAAGCTGAGATAACTGCATCTTCAACCTGCAATACGGAAGAAAGTATTTGAAACACGAAGGTTATTGAGATAAGGAGAAAATTAAGGTTAATACCTAGTATTTTATGATACAACGTGTTTTTCAGTTTGTCTTTTCAGCTAATGAACTACTTACTGGAATATGGTGTGGGAAATCAGCTTGAAATTTTTGACAATCTTAAAGAAGCAAAGATTTTAAATGGTTTGCTTTTGATCAAACTTACTAGCGTGAATTCAGCTTTGCCAAGAATAACAGCTGACAGTTTCAGATTAAAGGAATTTTCTTGGGACTGGAGGATATGAACAGGTCAAACTAAGGTTTCAGAACAGAACAGGTTCTTTGAGTTCATTGACAACAACTTCCTGACAAGAGGGGACCGAGCAGCCAACAAGAAGGTGTGTGGCTCTCCTGATATTTACAATTCCAGAAGAAATGAGTGGCCATGTGAAGACTTTCCCTGAAGTAATCATGAGATGGTGGAGTTCAGGATCTTTAGAGGAGGGAGAAGGGCAAAAGTGGGACCAAAGTGAGCAGAGCAGAGTTTAATCTCTTCAGAGATCTGCTTGGAAGAGCCCCATGGATTATGGCCCTGGAGCAAACACGAGTCCAGGACAGCTCTTTGATTTTCAAGGATCACCTCTTTCAGTCTCAGGAACGGTCCATCCTGACACATGGAAATCAAACAAAGGCAGCAGGAGGCGTGCAGGGAGCTCCTGACTAAACTCATGTATGAACAGGAAGTGTATGGTAAGTGGAAGCAGGGACAGGTGACCCCAGGGGAGTATAGAGTCCAATCATGCAGGGATGTGATGAGGAAAGCCAAAGCCCACCTGGAGTTGAATCTGGTGATGAATGTGAAGGGCAACAAGTAAAGTTTCTACAGGTACCTTAGGTGAAAATGGACATGGAAAAGGCTGAGGTGCTTCGTGTTTTCTTTGCCTCCACCTTTGCTGGTAAAACCAGCCTTCAGGAATCCCAGGGCCTTGAAACAAGAGGAAAAGTCTGGAGCAAAGACGACTTACCCTGGGTGGAGCAGGAGCAGGTTAGGGAGCACTTAAACAAACTGGACATACCCAAGTCCAGGGACGACTTGGGATGCACGCACAGTGCTAAAGAAGCTGGGCCATTCCACTGCAAGGCCACCCTCCATTACCTTTGAAAGACTGTTGTGACTGGGAGAAGTTCCTGAGCACTGGAAGAGAGCAAATGTCACTCCTGTCTTTCAGAGGAGGATCTGAGGAGTTGCAGGCCCGTCGGCCTCATCTCAGTCCCTGGGGAGGTGATGGAGCAACTAATCCTGGAAACACTTAAGCAATCCATTAAGGACAAGAAGGTGACTGGGAGCAGTCAGCATGGATTTATGAAGGGGAAATGATGCTCAACCAAGTTGATGACATTCTACAATGAGATGATTCACTCAGTGGATGACATGAGAGCAATGGATGCTGTTTGCCTCAACTTTAGTAAGGCTTTTGACACCATCTCCCATAACATCATCATAGACAAGCTGACAAAATATGGTTTAGAGAAGCAGAAAGTGAGGTGGAGTGAAAAGTGGCTGAACAGCAAGGCCCAAAGGGTTGTGAACATTGCCACAAAGTCCAGCTGGAGGCCAGTCACCAGCAGTTTTCCCCAGAGGTCAATAGTAGAGCCAACACGGTTTAACATCTTAAACAAGCTGGATGATGGGGCAGAGTGCACCCTCAGCAGTTTTCCAGATGATACAACACTGTAAGGACCGCTGACACACCAGGGGATTTTCCTGCTATTCAGAGGGACCTGGACGGGCTGTAGAAACAGGGCGACAGGAATGTTATAAAGTTCAGTAAAGTGAAATGCAAAGTCCTGGTCCTGGGGAGGAATAAACAAAGCCACTGATACATACTGGGGCCAGCGGGCTGGGAAGCAGCTCCATAGAGAAGGAACTGGGGGTCACATGCTGGACAACAAGTTGACCACTTGGCAGCAAATCACCTGCACAGCGAAGATGGCCAGTGGCATTCTGGGATGCACTAGTAAAATCATCACCAGCAGGTGGAGGGAGATGATCCTTCCCCTCTGCTCAGCACGGCTGAGATGCATCTGGAGTGCTAGGACCAGGTCTGCGCTCCCCAGTACAAAAGAGACATGGATGTATTAGCGTACCTCCAGCAAGGGCCCACAAAGATCAAGGGACTGGAGCATTTAATAGAATCATACAGTCATAGAATTGTTATGGCTGGAAAAAACCTTTAAGATCACCAAGTCCAACTGTTATCTAACACTACTGGGCCTGCTTCTAAACCATGTCCCTGAGCACCATATCTAGACAGTTTTTAAATACATCCAGGGATGGTGATTCAACCAATTGTCTGGGCAGCCTGTTCCAGTCTTTGATAACCCTTTCAGCATAGAAGTTTTTCCTAATGTCTAACCTCAACCTCCCCTGGTGCAACTTGATGCCATTTCCTCTTGTCCTATCATTTGTCATATGACAAGAGGCTTGAGAGAGCTGGGAGTGTTTAGCCTGGAGGAGAAAAGGCTTGGGAGGGATCTTATTGATTTCTACAAATACCTGATGGGAGAGAAAGAAGAGGATGGAGCTGGGTTCTTCTCAGTGGCGCCCAGCGACAGGACAAGAAGCTATGGACACAAACTGAAACATATGAAATTCTATCTGAACACTCAAGAAAGTTGGGTGTTTTTTTTCTACTATGGGAGTGGTCAAACACTTGAAGTTTGCCCAGAGAGGTTCTAGAGTCTGCACCCTTGGAGATAATCAAAACCCAACTCGACATGGCCCTGGGCACCCTCCTCTACCTGACCCTGCTTTGAGCTGGGGGGTGGATTAGGCGATTCTAGTCCTGATGAACTGGATGGTCCCTTCCAACCTCAGAGATACTGTGATCCTGCGGTTCAGGTGAGTACTGCTGCATTCCAAATAGTGTCCGAACAAAATGTGCTTCTCATCCTGCCACTAACTCTTATGGAAGGGGACTTCTCCCAAGGGAAAATGTAATAACCATCTAGCTGTGCTGACAGGTGAATTTGTGGGCATTTTGACTTAGCTCAAACCTCTTGATGCTGAAGAGCAAAGGCTTGAAGGCTGTGTGGTAAAAAGACAAAACCATGCTCCCCAGTGAGACTATGCCAAACATTTTATTGCTTCTGGTCACATTGGCGCTACTCTTCTACCTTTTTCAGTAATTCAGTCTCAGCTACTGTGTTTTTGTAAACTGTTAAAGTACACAATGTCAGAGTCACCAATTCACTGCTCCGAATTTGCCCTTACTTCCCCTTAGTGTAGACTATTATTTATCTTAGATCATGAGAGCAGTTACTACAGTACATTGTCATTAAACAGAGATTATAGACAGTTTTAATATTGAACATTATTAAATCTTTCTTGTTCTCTGCTCCCTTACCACTTTCAATTCCTTTTTCTCTCTTTCCAAAAAAACCCTCTCTCAAATCCATTGTTGTGCCATTACTATTCTTTTATCACATCTCTGTCTCTCCAGCTAAATCCAGCAATTTGTCCTCTCCTGATCCTCTCTGCCACCTGCTGCCTCTTTCTCTGGTCCTGGGACCCACCCAAGCCCTGTCTTGATGAGCCCTCTGCTAATGTGCCTTGAAATTGTTCTCTCTCTCACTGGTCTCTGAATTCCTCTTTCTCCTTTTCCTCCAGTGTGCTGGGAGTGTGTCTTTGTATTGCTGAGTACAGAAAAATCTGAGGTTTTGGGAAACAGAATTACTGTCCAAGTAAATGTTAGTGCAATCACAGCTGAACAACATGGGAATCTTGCAATTTCCAGACTTGATAAAACTGCTAATCCAACAATAGCCACAGAAGGGTCTGGGTCTTTGTCACAGCACCAAGACACTGTGGAAAGACAAACAGTATTAATAATAGTTTTCCCTCTGCTAGATGTATGGTCTTTTTTTAGAAGCCTTGCATCTTTGTATATGTTCATATATGTTGCTCTTTTCCAAGCGTTCATCTCTCATGTTGATAAGTAAAAGACCTCAGGAAATGCAGCACGCTTTATGATATTACAGCTACAGTCCTTCCACACTTCATGAGATTATGGCAACAGTCCTTCCCAAACACATCAGGTATAAAGATATACACCGTACTTCAGCCTTACAAAGTTTTATTCATCTTGCAGAGAAAAGCAATTAACTGCTGGAAAATACCAGTTGTTACATTTTATCAAAACCACCAGTAATCATAAAAAAGGGATGGTGAGTGGATTTGGGGCTAGGCTAGATCTGGAAGTCTGCTGTTTGACAGCTCTTTAAAACCACACACAAACAGCCCTTTTCTCCATTTTGGTACAGAAGCACAACTATTGTTTCTTAAGCCCAGGACAAAGTCAATACTGAGATTTTAAAACACATTCTTTGTTCATGAAGACAGCCTTCATGAAAGCAGACTGCCGTCTACTGCACCTAGTGCTCTAGTGACTTTCTGAAAAAGCACAAGTATGCTTCTTCACAGTCCTGATTTGTTCCTCGTGACTCTTCCCACCACATCTTGAAAGACACCTGGCTTCAGTACACCTTACTTTTCAAAGTGCAAGTCCCAAAAGCTTGGCAAGTGGGATCCTTGGTACTGTGACTAGCTATTTCACCATGTGATCAAAAATTGTTTCATTGTCAGAGAACGTGTAAGAGATTTTAGAAGTTCTTGGACTGCCTTTCAGAACGTTCTTTCATGCAGCCCAGTAATTTGAACTAAGTGTCATAATACAGAGTATGTCTATGCTTGACCATGTGTGATCCACATGTTAGAAGCTTACTATCCTGCACCTAGAGGAGGTTGATCTATAAGAAAAATGAAAGATTAGATAAACAAGGTTTCTGTAAATATGACTATTCTTACATTCGAAAACACATGTCCAGACTGTGTAAGAATGCCATGGTCATCTCAAAAAGAAGTCTTTATAAAAAGAACTAAAGCCTTAAAATCTCTTTTGGGTTATGGGAATACTTAATGCTAAGGTAGAATACTATGTGAGAACATTACTACCTTATTTGTTTAGAGTCAATTAAGTAGATAATGTAATTGTATTAAAGGCAGTTTTATTAGGATGCTTGAAAGTGCAGTGTGTCTTGTCAACAATTACATATTAAGACAGAAATACACCATTACTCTTTATTGTGTATTAAGTGCCATAGCAATTTTTTGACAGAAGTGTTGAAAGAAATCAAAACAATTTCCTTTGCTGCAATATTATATAAATTGCACTAAAATTTGACAACCACAATGAATTGAAATACACTGCAAAGAGGCGAGTTGCACAAAGCCACCTTGACACAT